GTGCAAAGCGCATCTGAAATGGAGTCTGTCTGGTGTTTATTTTGAAACGGATGCTACTGTTTGTTCATTCTGGGTTGTTTTGCTAGGACCAGGGTGTCGTAATCAATGCATCCCTACGTTCAGCACCTCGTGGACACCTGAAATCGCAGTAAGATTGCAGTCCGTCAAGCAACTGAATGCGTGTCATTTACTGTATAAAACAGTTCAATTTACAAGCTCCTGTTGTTTAACATAAGAAAATATGCAAGCAATCAATGAATGAGAGCAGACCTAAGTCACTTAATTGGTCCATAAGGGATTAAAAATGGCAAGGCATAAAATGGTAGTATTGACCAAACTGCTTTGATGAAAAATCTAGTATTCGGATTGAGCATCCATGGGCACAGAGATAAGAAGTGCTTTGAACTGGTTGAACAATATCAGTCTTAATATTTTCAGGAGCTGAGGACTACCACAAACCAGGTGTTTTATTATATCTGGGTGCCTTCTGATCACGTATAGGAGAACGGTCAATTAGGTAGCTAACCGTGAGTAGGTAAGTACTGCATCTCTCAACAAGCTACGACGCTTGAGGATGTGGTCGTTTTTCGACTGGCAAACAGTCTTCGGAACTAAAAATTCACAGATTATTGTAGAATGCGTCGTGACGAATATGAATATGGAAGGCCACCGGATGGGGCCATCACCGTCTCACTTTTCCCCGGCAGATAGCAATTATTTACGCAAGAGCAAGACGCGCGTGCCCCAACAGAAAGAAGTGATACTACAGCGAATACCGTGTTAAGGTTCTTCGAAAATTCATCTATGAAGCAGACTTGTTCCTATGTGAGAGAAATACAACAAATCTGAAGCAGAGAGCCAGCAGCAATGGAGAATAAGAAGAGAGCTCTAATCAACTTGAATAGAGCACATCAAACTAAAACGTATATATAATATATAAACGATGTGTACATGAGTATAATGATGTACGATTATTCGCAAAGTTACCAAAAATTGCAATGTAAGAGTAAGTTATAAAATTTGAAGCAGATTTCAAAATTTAAAATTCTTCCTCCAGTGTAAATGATTTTCACGGTATATTTGGGAATAACCAATGTAAAACCATATTTAAAAGCTGATTATTAGTTTTAATCGGTGATGAATACAAGCAACACTGTATGAAATAACTTACCGATATATTTTCCCTAATCCGTCCAGGATTAGAACTTTTCGGAATGGCGATCAAACCGCGTTGAACAGCATGCCGCAAAAGTATCTGACCGGGCGTTTTACCATACTTTTCGGCCAATTGACAAACAACTGGCCATTTGAGTATGTTCTCCTCATCACTATGAAAAAATAACAATAATTGTTTAGCTACACAGGAAACAACCAAGTAAACTAATATTTCGCAAGTTTCAAACGTGATATATATATATATATATATTTGTTGAAATATTCCCACAGAGCACATTTCAAACAAAACAACAGAGAGGCGAACAAGCTCGTTTTCAGAGATTCGTATTCATACCAATACATCTCAATATATATCACTACTTGGGAATAAAATTGTCATGGGAAAATAAAATAAAAACAGATTACTAAAACCAATATTATTCCCAAGTAGTGATATATATTGAGATATATATTTACCGCCGGCTTGTAGACAAGCATGATGCCAACGTTACAACAATATTAACAATAAGAATAATAGGGGATAGGTGGATGAGGGTACAGAACAGAGTGGAAAGAGGGTAAAATAGTTAAAAACAGGAAAATGGAAGATAACTGGGATAGAAAAATTTTGTTTGTGTTTCACCGTACACTTTTTGATATTTTTTGTGTTGTTTGTTGTTTTAACGGGGCACGGGATTTCAACAGACAGACCGTACAGCATTCGCGCCCCTGACTTCTATTCTGGGTCATATCTCTCAGCGTCTCCAAACAACGACAATCCTCATCCCTTGGGCCCCAACCTGGAAGGCGAGCTGCACTAACCGAAGCCATGTTCATGGTCTGACCACCGCGCCGCTTCTTCCAGCCTTGCTCGACACGTGCGAAGAGAACACGCAAAAGTAGTCTATGGGCATGCATACACAATACGTGACCAAGCCATCGGAGGCGGTGTAGAGCGATTACTTCCGTTAGCAGACGACTATCCGCACCCAACACACGACAATGAACCTCGTCATTGCTCATCCGGTGTTCCCGCCAGACACGAGCAATGCTTCGGAGACATCGGTGGTCGAATATAGAAAGGTCTCGCAACCGTAAAGAAGAACGCTACGAACCGCGGCGATGTACACCCTTCCCTTAAGGGACAGTCGGATGTCATGGCGGCGCCACAGATGTCGCAGGCTGGCGAAAGCTGTTCTAGCTTTCGCTATTCGTAATGTGATCTCCCCAACACCAACACCAGCTGCGATCAAGCTCCCGAGGCACTTAAAGCTTTCAACTACTTCTAGCTGATCACCACAGAGGGTGAGTGCAGGCAAAAGCTCCTACCAGTCTTGAACAAGAACTTTGAAGGTGCAAAGTACATACCATATTTGGATACCTCGATTGCCAAGCGGTTCAAAGCATCTTGGACTGCCTGTGTGTTGTCATCCAGCAAAGCGATGTCATCGGCATATTCTAAGTCAAGGACTCTGTTTCCCTGGGAGGAGTTCGACTCCACCAATTGCTAAACCGGACAAAGCATTCTGTAGAACATTCTCTATGACAAAGTCGAAAAGGAATGGGGATATAGGGAAGCCTTGCCGAACTCCAATGGAGTCGGCGAGGGGTGGCGAAAGTTGGCCATGGGCCCTAATCCGACCTGAGGTATGACGATGCAACTCTTTGATGATCGACAAATGCTTCTCAGGTACTCCATTCCTCAACAAACAGTTCCATAGTGCGGTCCTATCGACAGAGTCGAAGGCCGCGCGGATGTCTGATCGTTGGTCTTTGATAGGAATGAANGCTCTAGCAGCTGTCGGAGGGTGAACATTTAATCGATGCATCCACGACCGGCGCGAAACCTAGCCTGCTCCTCGCGGGTCTTCTCCTCACGAGCAGTGTACAATCGGTGGAGAGTGATGGACGCCAACAGCTTTGACGCTATTGGGATAAGCCTTATACCTCTATGATTGGCGCAGTCATTGCGCGGGCCCTTTTTGAAGATGGGGACGACAATCGACTCCCCCAGGAGGAGAGGACCTGCTCAGTGTTCCACACTTTAGCGAACAGAGCTTGTAGTTCTCTAAGAAGCTTTATTCCACCATCTTTAAAGAGAGCATGGGGAAGCCCATAGGAGCCCGGTGCATTGTGACGGCCGAAGCCTTGGATCTTCTTACGGATTTTCGCCTCAGAAGGTCTGATGAAACAGACCATGGGACGTGTACCGGAATAGCTGTGTAAGACGCTGACGCTGGTGGCCAGCTAAATTGTGCTTTGAAGTGCTCCGCCCAGCGTTCAAGGCGTCGCTGTTAATTATGAATGGGTGAACCGTCAACTTCGTAGATCGTTTCGCGCACACCCAAGGCTTTCCTACCGGTAACCCGGAAGAGATGGAACAGCTTACGGGAATCACCCATGGCGGCAGCACGTTCCATCTCTGATGCGCATTGAGATCACCAGATTTCGTGATCTCTGCGCAGGCTTGCATTAAGTTCACGTCTCGTTACGAGTCATGTTTCATTATGCTCGCTGCCGGTCGGAAGTGCCCGACGTGCGTCAAGAAGGCACAGAGACTCCGCAGAGATCCAGAGTGTCACGGCGCGACGTGTTAGACCACAACTAACTAAGCCAACAGAATGCAGAGCATTCTTGATAAGCGACCAGTGCTGGTTAACATTATCGGGTGGGGTTAGTTCTAGCTTTTCAGCTAGCGCGTTTTGGAAAAGTTAGACGAGCTGGTTTCGACAGCTTATCACAGTCTAGCAGTCGTTGTGTCGTGCGTTTGGAACGCCCACCGAAGCACATGGACAGTTTGGCGCATACTAATGCGTGGTCGGATTCGAGGGTAGTGCTCCAGTACGATCGGCAGCCCCACCATTTGTGGCTTATCGCGATATGGTCGATCTGTAACCGTCGCTGCCTCGAAGAGGGCGGACACCAGGTAGCGTACCGGCAATTGGAGCGTCTGAAGTTCGTACTGGCAAGGAATAGGCAGTGGTCGGAACAGAGAGCCAACTGCCGCTCCCCATTTCCGGAGCGACAGGAATCTAGTCCAAAAGGACCATCCAGATGCGCCTCACTCGGAACCAGTCGACCTACTCGAGCATCCATATCTCCTGCTAAAATCACGATATCAGCCCGGGTCGCTTTACGCAAGAGGTCGTGTCGATTGTGGTAAAATTCTTCTTTGACTCCATCTGGGCTGCAGTGCGTTGGAGCGAACGCCGAAAAGACAAACAAGTTTCGTCTATCGTGGCGGCGGCTGCTTATCTTGCACGAACCTCTGAGTCTAACGGCGCACAGCCTACTGTCGACTGGGATCCTGTACAGGAGGGCGGCTTTAGCTCTCTCACTGAGAGCCACGCCGATGCCAGCGACACCGGAAGTCGCAGCCTCAGGGTACCCAGAGAGGTGTAAGTGAGACTTCACAGATTGATTTGACGGGGACGTCAATTGGATAATGGAGCTGGAGTCTTGAATGCGAGTTTCTTGAGTGCAACACACATTGATGGCTAGGGTTTCGAGCGTACGAGCTAAACACGCCTGTTGTCCTATACGCATCAGAGTGCGCACATTAAATGTAGCTAGTTTGAAAGGACATCGAGGGCGAAGAAGGGCTTCAGCTGATGGGAGGATTCGGTGGGACTTGGATGCTAATAGAGGTAGGACAAGAGCGAACAGCGGCAGAATTTCTGCCTGAAGCACTAATATTGGTACGATAGTCTGAAGCACCCGAGAGAGATGGCGAAGTGTTGGGAGGAGGCTGGGAGGACAAGAGGGTGTGTACGGTGTAGAATGTTTTGCGCAGGATGAAAAAGCATCAGAGCACATAATCGTAAGAGCAAGATGGTTCATGGTTGTATGCGTTGCGGGTTATTGTACTACTCAGTCGTCCGGTCGAGAGTAGTTTAAAACGTGAAGAAACAGAAAACTTACGTCCGTTTTGCAGGAGCTCCCAGGGGACAGTATGCCGCAACAGTCATACCGACGGATTTGGCATAGTCAATTATTGGGTCATTCATGAACGCTAGGTGACTCTCGACTTGTAGATTCGATGGACGAATGCTACAGCAATCCAAAATGCGCTGAATTTGCCTCTTATTAAAGTTCGATAATCCGATTGATTTGACCAGACCTGACGAAACCAATTCCTCCATTGCCTGTTTAAGAATTCACAAACGGTTCATTTCACACAAATATTGACAAAAAGAGTGCGACACGCTATTAAATGACGTCACTTTCTTCTTCAAGAATTATTTCATAAGTATCTCTAACCAATTTAGATAGAGCCAACTGGGGTTAGCCATAACTAATTCCACCCAGTGTTCCGGCAATGAATTGTCGTGTACAACGCAAAAGAAACTCGATCTAAAAGTGTCAGGTTTAGTTTTTACAACCATTAACCATCCACTTTCGTGTGCCGGTTTTGGTTGCTGTCTGTTGGCTGCTCATTTGGATCAAGCAGTAGGAGAAATACAGGAGAGTTGAAAGTAGAGTGGAGGAGAAAATAGAGAATTTCAGTAGACTAAGGTTACAAACTAATAGAGCAGATGCACGAAAGGATGTAAATCACCAGTTTAAAAATGACTGAGAAACTGCGTGTTTTTGCCATTATGATATACAAACCAATAATAGCAGAAATCACACAACAAGCGAAAAAGATAAGCAGTTGTTGAGCAATAACGCAGTAAGTAAAGTCTAAGGAGAGCTTCTCAAAAGAAATGACAACATGACTCATTCACAATGTCTGTCAGCGTTCCCAATCGCATGCGCATATAATCTATCAGAACACAGAAAGGCCAACCCACGGAGTGAGTGACACATAGACGCTCCTGACGTAATTGACAACGATATACCTTCTGCATAAAACCAATGTAGTTTTCAATTAGCACAAAAAATGGTTTGATACTTTATTGTTATTTCTTACAGGATACAAAATTGGTAAAAAAAATACAAATGACAAGTTCTGATCGGAATACCGCTACAACATAGTTGGGAAAACGTCGGATGTATTGCAACCCTTTACAAAGATGACCACTAATGAAAACCAAATTCTAAATTCCAAAACCTTGACCGTTGCATCAAAACCTATTCGCACAATCCGGAAAACTAGCAGTGATTGCATTTTGTCTCCTTACTTGAACAAGAAAACAGTACAAGTGAAAAATTGCTTCGGGTCACCGGCTGGAATCCAGAAGAGGGTACTATGAAGAAATCTGACAGGTATGGTTACAAAAAAGCATTGGGCTAGGAAGAGTACTTCCAAAGACAGCCTAAGAGAAGCCAGAAAGAGACCGTTTTCAAGAGGTTGAATGAACTATGATGCAGGCTATAATTAAATAACAATGTTCATTCTGATGTCCGGAAATTTGTCGCTGAGTGAAAAATCGACTAAACATATATCCCTTTACGTCAGGTGCTTTTCCTTTTTGAAAATGTCAGTTCCTCTGACACTGCAAGGTGGTGTCCAAGCAAGAGAATAAAAAAGTTAACGACCATTTATCAAAATTTTAATCTCATCAATCACGACACGCCTCGCAGGCTGTCTCATCTCCTTTCATGAAGTCACAAAGATCAGAATATTTCGACAATGTGACATGAAAAAATAAAATAATTTTGGCTTTGGACACACCAACAGTAATTTTACATCGGGTGCTCTTCACTCTTACCCGGTTTGCACTTCTAAAGTGAAAATGATCGATAGAAGATTGGTTTGTCTCAGCTTTTAACCTTATCCTAACTGAAGAGGCAACAGCAAAAGTGGGCAAATTTTGCTACTTGAGCAACCACATCACACTTGACGGACGAATTTTTGATAAAGTATGGAACGCATGCAGTGGGGTCGGCTGGTATTTGCCAATTTGAAATATATATGAACCCGCTATGATATCCACTTGTCTGAAGGATCGAGTATGCGGAATAGAAATACATTATGCTATCAATGTTCTCTTCGTTTTCTTTCCTTTTTTAAGCACATAGTACAAAATTATTGTTTATGGTAAAGGCGTTCCGAACTATTTTGGCCGAAATGCACAGGAATTACTCGGAAACTGGCAGTGTTTCTAAAATCCTGTGACATCTTAACCACAACGATGTTAAGCGGCAAAATCGAACGGACAGTAAATGGACTAAGAAGGTCTTACTCGCCAAGTGTCCTCGAGGGAAACATTATCATAACGCCCAAGTCCATTTTCATCCGTGGGGAACAACGCCTCGCCAGGCTAAAAACAAAAAAATACTTTTGGGTCAAATCGGAATCACCTCAAGCGATACGGGCCAATGGATCAGATACAAATCCAGATAATCGAGTTTTAAACCACTGAGAGTTTGTTTGCAAGCCTTGGTAACCAACTCCGGCCGGTGATAGGTGTTCCACAGCTATAACACAACAGATGAATACGAATAAAGATCCATATACCTTTGAAACTACGAACAGATCTTCTCTAGAGATACCCTGAGCCTTGGAATGCTCAGCAAGACAACGACCGAATTCAGCCTCGTTTTGGTAGACGTGAGCGCAATCAAACAAACGATAACCGGCATCCAGTGCAGTCTTTACGACTAAATCCATCTCTGCCGCAGTAACCAGTGGATAAAATGTAATATTTTTAGGTCAAATGATACCTTGTACGTTCCAAATCCAATAGCGGGGATGCGTGTTCCATCTTTCGATTTCTGGAATATCATGTTTTTCTGTAAAAAGGCTTATGAGTAAATATGACCACGTTGAAGAATCAACATCACAGAAAGCAATTTATGCATCAAAGTATGAATTATTTAGTCCCATGAGCGACAATCTAGGTTGACGCAGGGAGAAATAAAGTGAGCTGTAAATAACAGCTATTGATAACTGAAAGTTTAATGATTCCATGTAGATATAATGAGTAAAGTTATAAGAAGCTTATTCCCACCGCTCGACGAAGCTTAGAACCCAGGATACCTTTTTCTCTTCCAATTTACCTCCTTGATGGAACCGTTTGCTCATTCTGCCATTAGGGATGCATTTCTCTGTTTATGTCTCTTTTGGGGCAATTAGGAAGTGAAGGGTCGAGGAAAACATTGAAAGTATTATCGTGGTAAACCGATAAGAAATATTGAATAAATACCAGTGTTTATAAAAAACAGTCCTCATTTAGTCTTTTTAGCTAACGGATAAACGGATCTAAATGACTCCATACATCAGATAGCATTCAACGCCTGAGCGGATCCCAAGTTCAGAAAGAAAGTCGAAAATTTGTGCTAAACATTCAATATCATCGAAACTTTCTACTTATTCATGATTACTGAGTTAGATAAAATGTTTTTTTTTTACATCAGGTAAACTATGGAACATTTGATTTGACAGTAGGCTACCCAAGTCAGTTTATTTATTTCCAAACTATGCGTTATTTATACCACAAACAGAATCTACGACGTCCACCACATTAAGCCCCTTCAGAAAGTCACTTTTCAGGGCGCGTGGGGCATCTATATTATTTGTGTATCAGATGAAGACGTCAGTGAACTGTATCAAAGCCGAATGCTTGTTGAGTGAACAGGTCCCTGTTAGCAGTTGACTAAACTATGTGCGATTGAGTAATT